TACACTTAGTTTATCAGTATGAAGATAAAATCTTCCATATTCTTTATATATGGACCAGGGATAAAGAAAGGCATTATTTTGCTGTAAAATCTTGATTCTTCGACTCAACGGTTTATTGGATCTTCTCACCAGGGATTTGTTTCAGATAAGCTGTACTAGAGTGCTTCTCTATGAAGCAGATGTCATCGTATTAGATTTAGAGAGTTCTCTCAAGTAAGGAGAAAATACCTGCATTTTTATGCTATTTTGTAATTTATGTCAAAGCCTAGTATTGAACATTATTATGAGGATTGGCAACTTCATAATTCAATTGATTTGAGCATATTACAAATACGAGCTTTTCTCCTGATTATATTAAATACACATTACGGTGGAATTGAATCAATAACAAAATGTTGAATTATCTAAGTAACACGAATTTAGAAAGACTCAAAATTTCACTCATTTTCGAGGCGAGTGCTCATCATTAGCCCTTGATTTTTACCATCGTCTGAAATATTGCTTAAATTTTCAGGTATCTGGGCGATGTACGCAACATGTCGACACGTCGTGGCCAAAGCTGGGTACTTTTTGTTAGTCCCAGTCGAAATGGGCAGTTTGAAGCCGCAGATCAACGATCGCCAATGCGTAACTTGTCTTTGCGGATGACCTCGCAGATTGATCTTATTATTGCGGCTCCTATATTAAATGATGTTGAATGAACATGGCTCTTAAGTGAACCATTTATTGTACAGGAATCAGGTGAGGAGTCGAGAACTTGCCTCGTTGTTGTCTGTAGTTGATATAGAGACAAAGCATTGTAAAGATGTTTACGCGGTGTCGATGACAACATCTATAAGCATGCACATTCATCTTCTTAGGAAACAATGTCAGGTTGGCCTAGTTGTGGAATGGCCTAGTTGAGGAAGTCTGTACCAAAAGCAGAGGCCCGAAAAAAAGCTAACGCATAAGTTTAGCTTCAGATCAAGCCTTCAGGTTTGTGATTTGAAGGTCTGAAGACATACCTCTTCCTTTAGACAGCTCTCGTGGCCATCGCTTGTTAGCTATGCTAGCAACCGTAGTTTCTTGCTCGCTCACAAGGGTACGACTGCGAGAACGAGGGTCGTTGTAACAGCACCTATTTGCCCCTATGAACAGGTTTCAATAACTAAGCTTTATTACATTAAAATGCGGGTACAAGTAAATAATCAGTAACGAGCCAAACGTAAAAGAAAAAGAGGCTTACACTTGACAAGTAAGAAGGTGATTTGCCACCGTAGGGTAAAGCTCATCGTTTAGGCATTTACTAGGCAGATCATCACGATGTACTGCTTAATGGTCTAATTGCATTGTTTATCATTTTCTGAAAGATAAGTTCACTAGTAACGATTTCCTTTGATCGAATACGATTCAACGGCTAACATTTGCAACAGTAAAAATAACCTATGGCAAACGCGTAGGTAATTATTATTTTACAGATACGTTTGGAAAAGCTAAATCGCCGTCAATTTGGAGTTACGTTAAGCATACAAGCGACTCAAAAATGTCTATGGTGCCAGCAGCACACTTAAGTTAAAAAGACAGTACATCATTTCTGTAGCAGAACTATATTTCGGTAGCAAATGTGACATATTGTCACATTTGCTACCGAATTCTTATTACGTATTAGTATTACGTGAGTGATCAAGGGTCAATTGTTTACATACAGAAAAACGTAACGACTCCATTGCTATCTAGACAAAACTATAATCTGACTACTTGATGTTGTTATCTAAATACATTAACTATCTATTAGAATAAATAACATTACTAAGAACAATCAATTAGAAATTAGAAATACGTGAAGCAGAAAATGAAAAGATATACGACTATGCACGACTCAGAAGATATAAAAGATTACAGAAATATTACTTTTTTGTCCAATTTAAATGTAACAACCTTTTAGTTTTTCTTGCCTTCTATCATACATATCAGGTATTTCGTTCATAAAAGGACTTCCGGGTGCACTCTGTGCACAACTAACGTCATCGAAATATGAGCATTCGTAGCGCGTCGTGCCTATCACACCAGATGTGTGACTTTTCCATCTATGGCTTCTCAAGGTAAGCCGACAGTGGGATATGGTTGCCCGCCAGCTGCCATAAGAAGCATAATTACAAGGACTTAGATCGAAAGAACAAGCGTACAATTTAATCCAAAAAGTAATTGAGGAAAAATCGCGATGAGGCCTGGCCTTGTCATCAAGAAACTGGCTCCATAGGTTTCTTCAACCCGTTACCTCGAGTTGAGAAACGCGAGATAACGTGCTGCATTCACCGTTTTATTTCAGACGAATATCTCCTAGTACTAAAGGCAATGTTTATTGCAAATACTACCATTACCTTACATTCGAAGCTACTTGACACTACCAGTAAAGTCTGTCCCTTCGCAGCACCACTATTTGCTCGCCTAATTTCTCCTCGGCTAGCGGTAGAGATTTAACCATGCCTCATTTATGACGATCACGTGCTTTAAGCGAATTTCCTTGTTATTTAAGCTTCGGCAAATATTTCGTAGAAGACACCACACGCGTTTTCAACTGCCTAAATCCGACTGATGGGGGATCAATTTTTTACTCAGTTTTCCAAATTTTCAGTATTTGAACTATAATAGGGTTCATGCTCGCGGCAGGCGTTCTCGTCCCTCTGAATTTGACGTATTGTCACATCTTCGCTGTTAACACTTTTAGGCTTGTCCTCAAAACCTTTACACCAGTGTTTCTGCTTAAGGCCTCGTTCCATAATGCCTTTATCAACATTTGATAAATTTCCGCAGCGCTGTAGCCTTTGATGAACAAAAGCTTGGCGTAGAATTTTGAGACTAGAAAATATTTTTCTTAAGCTCACTAAAAAAATTTCTAGAACACTGAAATAATTATTAGCCAACGCTATTAACGGAGTATAGCCAGATTCGCCCGTAACAACGTGATCCTTCTTTGCACACACCAGCGGGAGAAGTAGAAATACACTTATATCATAAAGTGAATGTTTGATTGAAATTTAATCAATCCTTGACTAGGTTCACTGAATTAATATTCGTCGCAGAGTGACCAGGTGAACCGTTGTTACCATATGACGGTAAGCTTCAGTCCCTGACATGCAAACTAGTCTTGATGCCTTACGTTCCCATGGACCCAACAACTCCTAGACATCGTCATAGTCTCAGTCACTTTAGCCGTTTCTGCTTGTGAAGCAAAGCCAATTAACAAGCACATAAACGTCACTGACTTTAATTACTCCCTTGTTCTATCAATCGGAAGCTTTACAGGCTACATTTAAAGCCTTACCTCAATGCAAGGCCATCACATCGTTTGTAAAGTTACTTGTTGTTAGTATGCAACCTATCTCAACAACAGCATCTAAAAGCTAAAGGGACCAATAAAGAAACAGAAATAAAATCGTTTTGATTACTCGAGCAATTTCATCTTGTCTCAGCTTTGATCCTACGGACATGATAGCCAACACGTATACTGACTCGGTTTTTTCAAATCTATTACATGTTTATTAAAATGTCAGCCCCGCCAATCCAACTACCAAATATCTACGTATATGGCCAATTGTCCTCCTAGGAAGCGGCAGCAACCACTTGTTTTGCCTTGCGGCGGTATTTTATATCTAGTATTTAAATAATGCATATATAATAAATGCATATATATGCAGCCTGTTCTAGCGCCCTAAATGTTGACACTTAACAAACCACCATCGCTATTCCTCGTCAGACGTTTCTATGAATAATCCTAGAAAAATGAACACTTATTATTCATGCAATGTCGATCACGTGACGTATTTGATGCGTCAAATTAAGATCAAATAAACAAGCCTCTCATGAACTAATTCCGTTTTCTATGTAGACTTACCCTGGCTTCTAGATGAGCGTGACTTGTATGATGCGAGCTGGTACTGCCGATATTAGTCCAGATAATAAACCATACCCCAGCCATAATAATGCTGAACTCGATGGTAAAAGGGTACAGATAAGCGAGTAGTGGAAGATTGGCTGGGAGGCTTGCTACGCAATCGAATGCTGCACGTCTCCATGTGGCGGGATACGACAATAAAAAAACGCACAAAAGGGAAAAGTTAGTGCGATTATTTAAGGTTGTCAAAATAGTTTAAGTGCTACGATAACCGATTAACTTGATGGCGCGAACCTATCAACCGAATGGTTAGATCGCCTACAGGCAGCTGCGATGCGTTCAAGCAACAGGTCTCTTTGACCCATTCGTTTTCCTAGATTGTGGTCAGTTGCTAAGCGCAAAATACACTTGCCATTTTCAGAGACGTGAACTACTCCAGCATTTTCATCCGTGCCGCTATGTGAAGCTTGGGCGTCAAGGATGATCGTGCGAAACCAGGATATGATGGACGTTGCAATTATATGCATAACCCCAAATCGTGCCCATGGGGTAAAGTGGTTTATGATAATCTGCAATATATGTTAGCAAACACCATTCAACGTATTTCGTAAGTACTACTTGGTTCGAAAGAGATCAACCCGCTGCTCGATTTTGAAAAAAGAGGAAGTCGGTTCGCTATCCGCATATGGAATTAGGTATTTACAAATACTATGCGTCTCGTAAGAGGAAGCGTATTTGCCAATCTGGGCAATGAAATGGCAATATTTATGTGATCTTGGTCCTAGATTTCACTCGTTTACTTACGTGTGAATACTTGAACACCATAAAAAGCTGGTAGAAGCTATACAGTGGTCGAAGGACGTGCAGTGCGAGAAACCCCCCGATGTGACAGACTGAGGAAGGTTTAGTTATTAACTGCAAGAACAAATACATGAATTGTACTCATCGTATGAGTTATACCCGTCGAAGCTACAAAATAGCTTAAACCATACGACATAAGTGTTTGATAAGGAATTACGCGAAGAAATTTTTCAAACATAATGCGCTAATATTGGCTGAAACACGACAGCTGATGACTAACAATGAGTTTTTCGTACCTATTTACGACGTTGATAGTAGATAGGTTAGAAATAGAAGGCTCCTAAGGTTTTGTAAATTTGACATCAATATGTGTAAATAAAATCCTCCTCCCTTTTTATTCTTATATTAACTTTGAACATCAACGTAATAGTAACTTGTTTGTCTTACGAGGACGCAGTGGCTGTCACTGTCGCTCCTACAGCTTCGTTAGGTTTATTCAGTTAGGATCATTTTTAATTTAAATCGTATAAATTGTTTTACCTTTGCCAATATAAGTCCTTCGTAAATAAGGTGACCAAAGCAAAAGGCGGCCATCCCAGTCTTAAGGAAAAAAGATCCTGAATGACGGCCCTTTTGAAATCGATATCGAGGATAGCCACCTAAAATTGAAACACAGAACATTTTCGTGTACATTTGCTTGTCTATTTATACGATTCGCATAATAAAGTGAATTTGTTCGCCTATTCTATGACAGAAGCCTGAAAAAACCGGCTAAAAAAAGATCTCATCAGGTCTCAAAGAATAATTGGCTTAGCGTTCCGTTGAAGTAACCGTATTCAGGCATTTCTTTTTAAGCGTTAATGTATTTTCGAATAAATCTTTTCAACAATTCGCCAATGACTGCCTTTACTTTCACATCTTCCTTTTATTTGCAATCAAATACCAAACGAATTTTTTTTCTAATTTTTTCCACCAATGTCGTATTAAAACAGGGAACAAAGAGGATGACGTTTCTGTATTTATGCATCTCCCTTTTCGTTGAAGCTTAACAATTTGCGAAATGATTTGTGTTACCGTTTTCACGGCAAGAACTCTGCTCTCTGCGATATTTTTCTGAAAGCATTTTTTAAAGAAAATGGCTACCGACAGGTGGCGCCCTAAGAAATTCAGAATTAGAGGGATCCATCAGCGCCTATTGGCATGATCTAAGTATCGGGATGGTGTAGTACCTAGTACTTGACTTTTTATAAGAAGAGTTTTTTTTTTCATATTTTTCTGCTATGTTTTTTATTATTTATTATTATTATTATTATTATTATTATTATTATTATTATTATTATTATTATTATTATTATTATTATTATTATTATTATTATTATTATTATTATTATTATTATTATTATTATTATTATAAAATTAATAATTATAAAAATAATCATAATTGACGAATTTCATAACTTATGGTTTCCTCTATGCAATTATAATTATGCATCTGGACCGTTTAGCAATTTATCAAGAAAAAGTATTCGGATGCTAGCTAAAACGCGTCTTAATTTTCCTTGTGAGGGAACTCTCGAGGCACATGTATTTGCAACACCGTCATTTATTGGAAGCGCTGCAACGAAGCAATGCACTAAAGTAAATTCGGCAGGACATTCTTCAAGTAAATTGGTTTCTCCAACTGATTATGTTTTACGTAGGGCTATACAAAGTCTTTTAGAAGACCAAGATATCCTGTCGAAATGTATTCTTGCTCACAGCGAGTCTTACGTCTCCGTGCTGCATTCGTCCTGCTCCTTGTTTTCCTGCAGACAACACCTGGGTAGATAGACTCAAACACACAGTGCTGTGGCGATGGTAGGTGCTAGCAGGATTTTTCCCATCTTCACAGCAGGCTGTCAGGGAAGAAGTACAATGCAATACGACACTACAGCTGTACTCGGTCTTAAAAAGACTAGAATTTCGAATTTGTTGGCGCCATGTTTCCCATTCGTATGGGTAAATATCATTGATCTAAGATCAATAGGTTGGGTGTCATTGTGACTTATTTTACGGGGGGTTCTGTTGTGGCATGGCGTCACTACCTGTGAAATACGATCCACAGTGGGAACAGCCATGGAAAAGCTTTGTGGTACTCAAGTGCAATTCGTAGAATTTTCGCTTTACATTAAGTGTTTGCTGAGCACATAGTTGGTTACTCAGGTAGGGATAGCGCAACAGGTCTTAGAGGAATATTTAACAGCCCGTAAAACTTCAAACATTCATAAATGTGTAGTATCGATAAGGGAGAAGTATTTTCATCCCCGATGGAATCTATATGGAACAACCACGCGACCAACTTAAGCATAGAACGTATCAGATTTGTACACCTGTCTGCGCAACGGAACTTTGATGCCACAAACGTAAGTATTTTTTGTTATATATATATATATATATATATATGTATATATATTATATATTAGATGGTCGGTATCTATTCGATGTCATCCCAACGATGTTATAGGTAACGTTAAGGCGTGAGCTTGGCCCGCACTATTCCATTTGTTAATTGTCTTCACTTTTCGAGACTGTTAAGTCTTCACTCTACTGCGGCGTATACCGTCATAACCTGGTAATATCTTCGGGGCATCTGAATGTTTTATAGTCGGTCCAAGGCGCCCTGATAATAAACGTATTGTATAAAAAAAAAAAAAAAGTATTATATAACTTAAACCATTACCTTCTTCGTTTTGCCACTCCGGTTTATTTATTGTTTCGAGGACAACATCAGTAGTCATTGAGACACGGTCCGTATCGCGTCTATATCCGTCGAGTTGTTCCAATTTTTCCTTGATGCGTCGGACGACGTGGCTTTTGTAAAGAGCGATGTCCACTTGAAGAAAAATCAGCCACGCGATTCCGATCACGTATGTAGCCCATGAAAATATCTAAAATGTGATTAAAAAATAATATGATTTTGAGGATACTGGGAAGGTGATTGTTAACTCCTGCGAACTTACAGGAACTCAGTTGTATGCAATCGCAATAATTCCCATAAACGTATATATATATATATGCTTTCCAGCTACTGGTTCTGGGCCTATGTAGATGTAGAGGTGCATTTACTTATACATTTAAGATATAGCATTTGTTCTATTATGACTCGACCGCGCTTATCCAGGGCATTAGCTCAAGGTTGATAGTTTTCAGCGCTCTGTTGGCCCAACGTTACGCGATCTTCTCGTGTGGGTTGAACACTATTCCATTCTTTTTAAAGCCGACGTACAGGTCTCACAATCCGGCTTTTGATGATCAGGCGTGTTTTGCAAGAGCCCGCGGCAACAGACGCACACAACGAGTCCTCTCATCATCCTGACGTACACCCTGTTGTAAGCCTTTGGTCTCAGCTTACGTTATCAAGCTAGATGGTGCTTACATAACGCGAAACTAGCACAGTTCGCTGGACCTGCAGGAAAAGTCGGACTTCTCCGACGTATGATCTGGAACCATCCGGATCAATTAAGCGCATGAGATCATCCTTGTCGCATGGGAAAGCTAGCAAGGGCGTTAATCTTCAGGTTCTTCGAATGTTGCGCAAGAAACCTGCAACCCGAGCTTCAAACCCAGCTCCTCTAGCCGGAACAGTTTGACGCTCACCAACTTTCTAAATGTATCGCTAAATGACAGACGACTTTTTTCGGCAAATCTACTTCCTTCGAAAAAAACATTTATATGGTTTCATGTAAACCTTTCTTATGCTTCTTCTTCACCGATTTTGAAATCCCGCGTTTGGCTTGATTATCCACTACTTGCGAGTATCTACACGCCCATTTTACGATCTGATCTGGTGCTTATTTGCGAACAGGGCGTACTTCTCAGCTTATCGCTTGAGCTTCCTCCGGGGGCGATTCGATATCAGCCAGTCGTTCGAGAAACTGCGACCATATCGCTAGCAATTCCACTGCTGTCAGCAGAAGCGGAGCGAACTGACTTAGCTTTGGCGTTTGATAGCAGGGACGAGCACTCAGCGTTCACATAACTGTAGCTCTATTCAAGCATTAAGAATATCTCATCTATAAAATATAATACTGTAATAAAAGTTTAGACATTTAAAATACAAGTTTTTTTCCTAGGAATCATCGTATGGGTCCGGCAAGAACAACTTAAAATTTACATTAATAGCCTTCCAGCCACGCATCTTATTTGACCCAAACTTATTACTAGCAAACTTATTATTGTGATAAAAATAAAACCAATATACTTACATTGGACATTCGATATAGGTCGGCGTTTTAGTGGATGTACAGGGCATATATATTTAATCATACATTATATAGGAATCATTGCACTATTAGGGGTGTGTAAATGTCAATGCTTGTAAATATGGACTGCTTACCTGGTCAGCGAATCTTGTGGCTTTTACGCTGGAAGAAACGAGGGAAAAAATCGTCCCCAGAGAAACAATGAAGGACGCATAAATGACACTCATCAACGCAAACAGATTTTCTCTGTAATAAGTTTAATAAAATTCAGATAAAACTGCTATTAATTATCTTGCCGTATCTATCATCTCTCAACTATCGAACCAATCATACGTGCTATGCTGGAAATCGATGCATACTGCAAAATGGTGAGCACTAAATGACCATTGGATCGTGTTATTTTTCGAATCGATTTCCGCACTCTTGAACCTGTCTCGCATAGAAACCACAGATCTTACGGCAGTGTCCGATTTAATCGAAGAAAAAGGCTGAAATTACTGCTGCAGGCCTCGCCATCGAACAGAAAAGGTTTATTGACTTATTAACTAATATATTTGAAATCTTCTAATTAGTTGAAACTTTTCAAGTATTATACCGCACGTCCTCTTTAATACAGTAGCATTAACTAGAGGCCGTACTAACTTATGACATAAAATGAAGAATTACCGCTGTATAAACGCTTCACCCGATTGAATTTACTTGCTACGATTCTTTTGACAGCGTTGAGTCGGTAGCCTTTTTAAAGAAGGATGCTGTTTCTCGGAAGTGTCAGGCTGTTTATCGACAAAAAGGAGCTGAGCGGATACAACGAAGCTGCTTGGCCCAGTTTTTGCGTTTCCCGAGCATCGGCTGGTGCCTGTCCGCGCGAGTTACAGACATGGCAAGCAGCTAACCTTTCTGGCTCAACCGTACCGTTGATAAGGATTTATATGTTTTACGTATTCAATCTAAGAGTCCAAACGATGTTAGTTTCTAGTTCTACTTGTACAGCTGAATAATCTTGTTCCTGCTCTCACTAAGAGGAGCGAGAAAAGCGCGAACCGTGGAGGAGATAGAAAGGCTTCCTTCTTGTCGCTTGGATATAGAAGTTGATTTTCTGTGTGGAGAAATACGCATTCAGGATGCCAATCCTTTGATTTTTCTCTACTTTCTTGCGCCTTTTTTTACACACTCGTCAATGAGGGGAAGATACAGGCGCGCCTACGACAGGATGAACCAAGACGTGCAATATGTAAAAAGACAGGAGAGACATACCATATTGGATGGCGCGTCCAAATTGAGAATTTTTTTATACTTTGGTTTGAGGCCTAAGCAATAAGATATTTAAACAAAATGTTTTGCATATGCTACAAGTGAAATTTCTGGCGCTCAGAATTATTCAATACAGCCACTGTTCACCATAATTACAGTTTCATCTTGCGCCTCAAACTACTGATGGATATTCATATATTTAAATACATAATAATATGTGTAAATAAATGATAAATATTTTTTCTTTAGTTCTCAAAATATAGTTGTAACTGTGCGTTAAGCGATATTGATACGTACAGACTCGTCAAGTATGCTACATAAGAAAATTAACGGAATTAAGTTCTCAATTGACAACAGGCCAAAAATTGGCTAAAGAGTTGAAAAGGTACTAAATATCGTTTCTAAAAAACGTTATCTCATTTAAATATTCTGACTATCAGTTAATGCTCTACTTTCTAAAACGTTCGCTTGTAAAAAAAAGGTGTATTACAAATGCCCTTTTGATGGTCGTTCGAGCTCTCAAATTTTAAGCTGGCAATAGCGTCTCAATTTTGGGCTAGAAAAAATATTAGAAACTTATCTTGCGCTGGGCATTGCTCAAAATTTGAAAAAGAAACGCAGAATTTTACACCGTGACGTGTTTGTTTTCTCGATGACAACAAGCTGGCTTCCTGGCGCTAGCAGCCAACAATATATGCCTGTTACGAGAAACTATGCAAGGGATATTTATGGTGTATTTGTTGTTACTTTCTACGGTTCCGTTTATTGTTATCATTACACAGTCGTAAGTTTCTTGTGGAGACTTTCTAAATATTAAGGCAAACCTGCTTAACTTGATGTTTGCCTCATTTCGAGAAGGGTGCCCTTATCCTTCCATCGGTTGGTATCTTCCATCGCCTAGGGGGTTTGACTTCACTTCGTGCTCCCCATACACCGTCGCGATTTTTTCTTACGCGTAACGGATATGATCCCGCTGTTCCCAAAATCAACTGACGTGTTACACTATTTCGGGCGTCCTGCGCCATCGAGGCGTCCTCTATGAGCCCGCGACAATACGCCCACACAATTAAGTTCTCAAAGGACCCGAGTCACATCTGTCTGTTGTTGCAGCAAAAGGGTCAAATTCCACCTCCTTCGAAGGGTGGATTCGTAGATTCCTGATCAACGGACAGAATAGGAACGTTCTCAGCTTTCTCCTGTAGGCTGTCACACGTTTCAGCCGCGTACATACTCTCGTTCTTTAGACCATATTCCCCGGCAAATATCTGTCTGGGTGGCCTTGATAGCAGGGTGCGAAGACCAGATCTTTACTAATGTTCGCAGAATTGGTCGAGCTCCCCTCGAACTGGCTCGACATACGATTCCTTCGTGGAACATGAAGCGAGTTTTGCGGGAAATACCAGGGAAACAGTCATAATCATCCACGATTTCCGCCACTCACCGGAAGCTTGTTAGGTGATATCCTATGATCGACACACTAGCAAGGTATTTTTGGTGCCGGCCAGTGAACAACCGAGCTAGACAACCACAATTCCTATTGGTGGAAGGTGCGCGTTATGACGTCTTTTGGAGCAACGCTAGAATTCGCTCTTTGCTGGGCGCAATTTGAGAGCGGACTTCGGGTTTCTCCGTCTTTCGCTCCGGACAAATCTAATTAGTCGGCGTAGAAATTCCCAGCGAGTCGGTTTCTTTCGAGGAAAAGCGCTCATACCAACTTTTGCACGTCTCCTGTGCACCGGATTCGAACCGAGCGCAGATCATTCCTAAAAAATATCCGCGTGGACCCCTCATGGCCTAGTCCGGTGGCTGTCTTACTTTCTCTACAACCCGCTGGCACTCCTCGACCCGTCGGTTTCTTCCCGTCGAATACTAGCGGCGGCGGGACGACTCCCAGTTAGTTATCCGTTCTATAAACTCGTCCCCGTTTGCATCATCCGCTACCCCATTGATGGCACCAAAATCAAGCGAACCGCTTTAGCTCCGTCGTTTGCTGGCCAGAGCGACCGCTTCACAGTTACTTTCTTTGATCTTACATCGCTACAGACGTGTAATTACTGATAAATTAATATTATAATCTTTGCATCATTACAATACGTATGATCGTATTCGTGCAGCTCAGTATGCAGAGTCTTACAAACTGGTGACGCACGCAATTTACGTAGGTAGATGTGACACAAATATCGACCATATTGTCCTAAGTATATTACGTATTTATCCTGTTTTTAGCTTTAACTGGCTTTTAAAATTTGCAACCGTTTGTAGTGCCTAGAGTTCGAGAAGTGCAGTTAACACTGTACAATTTTTTTCTGCCCAATTAAATCGGCTTAAAAACGAGCAAGTTTACATTTCTATAAGGTGTTATTTACATCGTTCTGGAAAAATGTTATTATAAATCAACACTCATATTTATTCGCTTTGTTGCTTACGTTAACTAACCTTGTCTTTTCTCTCATTGTGTTCGTGCTGGAATTGGACGTGACGATCGTGTCATCATATGTCGGTTCCTTACCGGAATTACCATTTTGCATAGAGACACTATCACCTGGTCGGGCCTCTCGATATATGACCCTCGATGAAGAATGAGGTTTTGAGTATGCTCGGTTCGCTAGTTCTGTCCCTCCATAGGCAAATACACCGTCTGTCAGTTTTGTGCCAGACAGGTTATTTAGGTCGGCTTCACTAGACGAGAGCCCACTCTACACGAGAAAAAGCAAGTGTTTAATTTGATATACCTAAATCCTAACGACACTCTGTACTTCGACAACGTCTGCGTCTTTAATTCGTCCTTTTATATTTTCATTGTCTTTGAAACTGGAAATATGAAAAAAGAATTTATATAGAATATAGGCTGCGGAGACTGACCTTACTTTTTTCACGCTTTGATACTTACGTAACCTGAGGGGCCCAGTCTATGAAATTCGTGATATAGCAGGAGATACTATCATAAACAACGACTCTAGCATGGACATTGAAATGTACCTTATTATGTCGATCATATGACTCATATAATATAGATTTTTATACCATGTAGACTTTTTGCTTCTATGGTTAATGGCCTTATCAGGTATGGTTATGCAAAAGCAATTCCATTGTTAATTTGACGCAGCATCGTACCGCTTTCATCATACGCCATAGAAAATCTTTCTGACGCAAGAATGTGTTCCTATTTCGGTGTTCGAGACAGAGAAAAATTTAGATTGTTCGGACAAGCGGCCGTCTTCGTGATAGGATAGTGCATAATATATTTTCCGACTAAACTTAAGGACACGTTGTGGCCTAAGTTCGAGGTCGTGGTCGCACTTTCTTTTGTGTTGAAAGCCACTAGTCTGGCTGAATAGCTAATCGCGGTACGGGACGGAAAAATTCAAGCATTTAGTATAAACTGACAACATAATACTTCATTGAAAAAGACCACGTTCCGATTCTATAAGAGGCGCGATTATCAACGTAACTCGGCTTTAGAAAGAAAAATAGAGAAAATTTGTTTGATGGAACTCATTGAAAAACAAAAGAAATGATGGCCAAGTTAGGCTTCACATCCCTATTTCGTTCCCATCAACAAGTGCAATCGAAGTTCACACTGACGCCGAGTTGCTTTGGGCTGTTTCTCAACGTGTCACTGAACGTTACGAGTCCTTGTCAGAGCGGCTGGAAAGCAGGTAAACGAGTTTCTGCCGGTATTACAAACCCAAATTGCAATTTCAAACCTTCGACGTGCGAAAAACTTATCTTTTTTTCATTAAAAGCTGACGGCGCCTATACTTAGCCTAAAAATCGTGCGTACGAACCCTGTAGCTGGCCTGTGGCGTCAGACCCTTCAGCCGCGGGAGGCATCGTGGCGTAAGAGTTGCCATCATAGTTACTATCTTCTTCGCTCTTAATAAAGGATGTTGAGTAATTTCAGTTTAGGAGTTACTCTAGCAGGAGGACACTGAGCTTACCAACCGCGAACTTTACTACTGTGAGACATCTACCGCAGCCATGGAGAATGCCAAGACATGGTTTAGCATTGATGTTAACAGTTGGTCTCAAATTGTAAATCAATCAGTATTTGTTGTCGACAGAAAGCAAAGCATGACCAGACGCATTGAACCGTTTTCAAACAATTGCTCTTAATTCTAGCGTGCATCCTCTAGCTTGTCCGCATTTTGGCCTGCTCGTAGAAAAACGCCGTGACTAGTGACGATTGAGTCACGGTTGGTACGACAAATATTGATATTATTTCCAAATACATATGCAGAGAATTATACTAAAATATCAATGGTTGTTCTGTTAGGCCCTGATAAAAGAAACATCGATTTCAAGTTAAAAGGTCCTGCGAGCTAAAGTATTTTAAAATGGAAATCATCATCTCGTGTTAAATTATCCCTTCCCATATACTCGGGAGGCTTCCCATACCATTGACTGAAGGTTCTGAATATTCTGGCTGCTGCCGTTTTGAGGTAGTTGTTTAGTTGGTGTCCTGCGGGGGTTCTGAGAACCTCCTTTGACTGTGGAATTGATGGGGATGCTGGAAAATCTTCGTCGATATCGTGTGTACACGGGCGAGGACGTAGCCAGGTCCACCTGTAGCCGGCCTCGTCTTGAAATATTAGGTGTGAAAAAAATAGAAAAATATAGCTGCAAGTAATGGTAAAGGTAGTAAACGTATAACTATAATTCTACAATTATCGAAGAGAAACTACAAAATAATCACATACCAGCAGGGAAAATCTTTATATTAGTGCAAAATATCTGCTTTGCATTTTTGATCAAGGCTGAAAGTTAAAATACAGAGATAGAAAAGTTAGTTTCACGCCGCGCTGACGTCTTGTTCCCTATCATGCTCATTGAAATATGTGGTTAAGAGTAAAAGAAGGGCCTTCATGCATTAGATTACTCTGTAACTTTGAAATTAGGAACTACGTCATACCTAAAGTAGCACGTAAACATCGGCATCAATTATAGACAAGGTTTCATTTATTTACTTTTCATAATAGTTCAATCACTCGAGAAAGCGTAAGACCTATATGCGGTGGCTTAGTAAAGTAATCGCAGAGAATGTGCCTATGGATCAGCATTCATTCTGATGTGGCTGACCTGCGATGCCGTCGAAACGGCTATTTCTGAACTGTATGGTCGAATCTAACTCGGACTCTGATGATTAGGATACGGGTAGTATCTTATGCAGACTCGTATCCGAGTAGGCAAATGAGATCTGCACAATTTTCCAGCGCAGTATGCGCCACACAGATCCTAGCTTCTGCAGATTAGATAGGAAAAAACATTATATTTACTGAAAGTGAGACAAGATTCCTATTTGCATACGCTTTCACAGCCTAACAGAAAATCTGCAGACAACTCTGCTTACATCTACCATATCGCCATGAATGCACGACTTCTGTTTGGATATATTTGCGCAGGTCTGCCCGGTTACAGGAGCGTTCAGTCTCGTGCAGATAAACAGCACGAGAAACAGATCTTTTTCTAATACCTCTCCTTCTGAGTCGGCAGCGAAAACAGTCGCAAAGCCGAACCCACTAACGAACTAACAAACGTAGCTGTATGATGTCTCACCTGCGTACGCCTAGCCCCGTTCCGTCACGCCATGTACAAACACCCAGATTAACATTAAGCATCAGAAAAAAACGGAAGAAGTGTTCAACTTTTATTTATGTTAAATTGTTTTTATTGCGGCTGCTCGGGCGCACATCCGATTGTACCGTGTACATTGAGGTGTACTGGTAGACTGCCTGACCGGCGAACTGACTGACCTACAAACTTTTCCAAATGTTGAACTACACAAATAGTCCGCTCGGGAGACAGGGGAGATTATTGCGGTGTCTCATTTTGCCGTTCCTGGCTTGACGCAGCTTCTTTTCAGTGAAAAATGACAGACATTTCGATCGATCTCGACGATTCATTCTTTTTTATGAGTTTCTGGCTTTTCAGAGCTATAAATGGAATAATATTTGGAAAGCGATGACAGCGTATGACGGGCTGCATTTAAAATTCGGCTAACGTAAGCCGCTACGTAACACGTCGCAAACGAGACACGATAATTATGGACTTTTAACCTTGATCACATTGGCAAACTATTGAAGTTATTATGCTCTTTTACTAAACTATAAGCGGATTAAATGCCTTTTCATTGTTTTTACGCCTTAAGTGAAAAAAAGGCCTAACAAGATAATGATTTATCTAAACCAAAACGAGACAGACTTTACGAAGTGCGCTTTAAATATGTACTTTACAGTTCCTACTTTCTGTTAAATTATAAAAACATATCCATTTTCGGCGCTGTTAGCTTCCAGTAAAACTGTTAGTAAACAACTTACTTGTAATGTTGAGTGGCAATTGAGACGAAAAAAAGTTTCGTTCTCGAAAAGTTGCGCAATATAATTAGGTGTTAAACAAGAACCGCTTTATAAATGTTTCTATCCAGGATTCTAAGCTTCAAGCGCCTTAGTGAGCATAACGAACATTTAAATTTAGGGCAGTTTCAACATATTGTTGTTAATATTTACATACGATATCAGGATCGAGACGATTTGTGACCCGCAATCTGCGTGCTTCCAGGCGCTTATATAGTACAGTTAATAACAGCACTGAAATATTTTCCATGCATGTGTTTTTTTCCATATTTTAAAACGTACCTGTTTTTCCACACACTTTTATTTAACTTTTGTGACTCTATATAGCGTCGTTGTTTGCAGTGTTGTAAAGATAAGCACAGCTTTAAAACTGGCTCAGCGTGCGCTCCCACTTACTACATACATTATAGAATCAGCCAACGCCGTAGAAACAAGCATGCTATAAACACGTTTGCAATCTTGTTTTTCGCGCTGTCGATTTATTTCTACGGTTCTAAGTCTGAACACGAACCCTAGTGACAAACTGCCTGTGTAACCACATAAGCGCATTGACCAGTTACCCCAGCGTCTATCGCTTGAAGCTTGAGACGCAATTCTACTGCTGTAGTTAGTTGAATCTAGTTTCCGATGGACAACTGTGAACAAACGCTTTTCACGACGTTGCCTTATCTGTGCAATGCAATCTGGTGGGTTAGGTATGCCAGGAAAGAATGGGCGGGAAAGATATATTTACATACCTGTCAAAGGAGAACTCAGAAGACGAGGTTTTTGGACCCTGAAAACGATTCGACCTATCGTCAAATACATCTCCTAAAGAACTTGCCCTGGGAGCGTTCTGAAATGTCACATTTTCAGAGTTCATTCGGGTACGACTTTAGTTAAACTTTTGCGACATTGCTGAAGTGGGTTTGCTCGATTCCTTTTTGCACGAGTTTTGCTAGAAAAAATGAAGATCTTTTCAGCGCGGAACAGTATTTTCTTTCTAAATTAATCTTGCACTGTTTCAGCTATACATAGGTATACTTCCCTCCAGTCGTAATACGTCACATGACAAATACACTACCCAGTGAGAAACTGTCAAATAACAGATCTGGTTTGTGGACCGCAGAACAATGTGCCATTTCTCTCTCTTCAACAGTATATTTACGCAATGTCACTCTTTTTTACTTGAAGAAAATAGGTACCGTTCTACCATTTCTACACAGATTCGTGCCCTTATCTTAGCTAAACAAAATCAAAGAAATGCGTGATTGGCGGATTTGCAATTTTATTTATCCCAAGCCTAGTATATATACTGAGTTTTTTTACAATGCGCTATTCCTTATTTAGTCTTCTACGTATGCGCATGCGCCGGCTTGAAAATTCAAGATGATCTTTCTAGCAGCCTAGTTGCCTATATATGACGTTATAGAATTAGCACATAGAATGATCAAATAGCTCGGGCTACCTTTCATTTCCTATTCAAATACGTCTAAGTATTGGACTCTTTATCGAGCTGTATCTATCCAAAGCGAGATGCTCATCAAATCTACATGTTGATAACCCACAAACTTCCCTTCCGATCGAAAAGTCTCTCTCGAGACTATTGACGGTAACGGTCTAATTCAATGTTCCATAGTATCCAACGCCCCTAAACTTAATATACTATCGAAATGTAGAATTATTTTGAAACAGCTCTGCACTTTACAATTAACTGTGCCACTCTGCGCATTAAATTGTTAAAAAATAATATCGTTATAAGAAAATGTTATGGTCGCTGTGTCAGATGAGTCTGTGCAAACATTCATTTTCCTTTTTTTTTTTTCTCATTTGGTCTAAGCCGTGTCGCTATGTTCGCTGATTGTTCATTGTGGGTTCACTTGTCCTAATCTTCTAGATAATATGCGCTCTATGTTTTGAGTTTTACGTCGGGGATCGACGTTAGGCATTACATCAAATTTTTTAATTGAAGTTACGCGTTGTCGCCTAACTTCGAATTCGGGCATGGACACAGTTGGTTTCGTGCTAGGAGCCGTCCAATGGAATACCGAGCATAAAACTTGAAACATTATGTGGGCTGCATTTGAAAATCAGTAAATGGTGTACCTTCTAGACAAGCGTTTCAAGTCGAAGGCCAGTTTGTATATATGGGTTTAGAATCTTTTGCAATAAAGCCGCGTCCTTTAACCAAGCTTTAACTATTACCGTCCCCATTCACTTGCAAAATAATTTAACATATATTTAAAACCGCCAGGACAATCTGGAAAGTTGCTCGACTCGTAACTTCGATGTTTTTTATAGAATACTGCTAATATTGGAAATTACCACAAAGGGTCATGCCTAAAAGCACATTTATTTCAAGTCTAGTGGAAGACAGATAGGAGTGTGTGGCCTACTTTGCAAAACGATGTTGATTTTATTAAAAATTCAGAATTTTAAGGTGTATACGGGTCGGAAAGTTAGCGCAGTCTTCGTTACTAATTTTTTTCTTTAACTAAATATAAAAAAAAAATGGGCCCATATGAAATAGCAAAGTTTTTTGCACTTCATCAACCTTTTGTTGAATTTTGAAGAAGTAGGATCACCAGCTCGTTTTTCTATTGCCGTTTTTCTGTCCCAAAGCTACATTTTCAATGGCCAAACTAAACGATACATGTTATAAAAGTAATCTAATTTAAGTTATATTTCATAACCATTTTAGGGGCTACATGGGTCAAGGTGGGGTTCGAGAGACAAGAACGTCAATGACATATGAAATCGGATGGCGTCGGTGCCAATTTCACAGAGATATTCAGGGACAAAGTGGCTTCAAAAAACCACTGAGCTGCGCAGAAATACGGATATACGTGTACACCTCTGTTCGGACTAAGGCATCGTAATTTTGCGTATGTCGAAACAAATTTTGACAACATCAGTGGCGTATTATCATATTTCAGCATATAATACCGCTGAAATATGCACCAGCTTCTGACTATAGATCAGAATTATGGACCGCATCGTTATCGTTTCTTCTTTCTTCTCGAACAAAACGTAACTGGCGTACCTTGATTAATCATAATCTTTTAGCTGCTTGATCTAACAGCAAATGATTAAAAAGCAGTGTCTCGAGCCATAATCACAACCCTTTTAAGAAAGAAACGCATTTCTCATTGCGCTTTGCTGGATGACTGAGTGACGGCTTTACACGAAGTTTATATAGGTCCACCTCTGAAGCTATGTAACCGCTCCTTTGAGCTATGTAGGCTTATGGCATAGGCGTCTTTCATTTATCTTTTCTCAGAAGTGAGCAACGCGCACAATTCGGCCTAAGGGATATTATAGAAGGGTCCTTTACTAATATATTGGTATGCTCTATTCTTGCTACACCGGTTGTTTCCAACGGTAGTGTTAAGTAAAATCTTGTCCTACGTGTAGGTCATTCCAAGTCTATTTCCTTCTAATTTGTACCGTGTTTTTCTCATATTTAGGTAAGCGAGATGTTGTTTATCTCAAATGTCTCTTACAAACAGTTTTTTTTTTTTATATAGCTCAGCTGTATACTCTACAAAGAGCATAAAATCTTGACTTGAAATTTTGAAAAACTGGGAGTTCCTAAATATGGGTACAGAGTACACACACGATGTAAAGTTTTAAGAGATGGCCACCGACAATATTGCGACCAGTGTTCAATATCTCAAATGACGGATTAACTTGAATGACGGAAGTTTAGGTTTAGGGTTTTGTCAAGTTCCTTTAAATCAAATAGTTTTTTGGTCTCTGTAGACCATGGACTTTGGGAAATTATACCGAAGTAAGTAGCTGTCAGGACAAAATGTACTCGTCATTCCATTTCGCCGTTCGGCGACAATTCTGATAATTTATTAAACAGTTTATTATCAGTACTATAGGCTGCGATGGTTTTTGAAAGTGCAAAACGTTAAGACTGAAAGGCTTGATACTGTTCGCGTAAAGTGTAGACATCTTATAAGAAAGGGTCATTTTACTAGCTTTACGGTTCTGACCTAGAGGCTATTTTTACGGTAAATCAGTTGCTCGCTCGATATCCCAGACATGCCATGGAGTGGATAATAGATCTATGCCTGCATATACGGTAGAATATAAAAGACTATTCTGGGCTCTTTCCAAAAAATGCATGAACACAAGCATTGAATATAGTGAGAAACATTAGAGATTAGGGGGTTTACTTCAGCGACGCGGATTGTTCACATCGAAAATAGAAGCACGTTTGTCGAAGACTAAAATCTTCTGGATGACACTCTGAAGCTTGATTAAGTTTGTAGTAGCGAATTTGTAGTAATCAAGTGTCCTGTGTTAAGAAAGCGATTAGCTACGAAGGGTTGCACTGTAAAAAATGACATTTTCTTGTTATGTTTAACTAGAAAAAACTTGAAGATACTTTTACTGAAAACATTGGAAATGCTAAAATTAAATAGAGAACTAGGATTATTTCGAAAATTGTCATTGTCGGTCCCAAGCTGCTATGGACTAAGCTAAAAGACAAATGTAATACTCTGCTCTTTTCTCTTTGTCACTAATATCAAAGGAGCAGCAAATCGCTTGTGGCAACTGGTCGAACAAGCCATTGTATGCTTCGTTCTAATTCACGAAACATGCTGGCGCGCTAAGCATGCCCGCACTTCATTCATACATATTATAAAAAAGTGTATCCGATAGCGCGTTTTATCGTGTGGCATCTTCGGCCAAAGGTTTAATATATAATGAGTAGAGACGACTGTAGCAGATGATGAGACCTTTAGCGCAAGACTAACTCTAGGGCGCTCGATTTAAACATTCAAATTTATATGAAATTTTAATATTAACAATAAACACCAAAAATTCTTACAATAACATTACCTCTATTGACAGAACTTCTGTGTAGAGCCAGCAAATAAGCTGTTTTGAGTAAAGTGCTTATTTCTCGTATACAAAGTTGTACCGATCTTCGGTGAGCTACTCATTTGTGCTAACAGAGTGAAGTTCGATAAAAGTACAATTGGAGAATGTATCTTATTTCAAGAGTAATCCAGTCGTAATAAGGAAGTAGCGATTTAATTATATCTCACAATTGCGACGAGCCTTCAAAAGATTGCTTTTGCTATTTATTTACTTAATAATTTCGTAAAAACTGCGTTTCGCAAAAGCCATATACACTGTTTGTTCCTACTTCAAGCCTAACTGACAGTGTTTCAATAGGAAAGCTTTTATGTGTTCTACGTGTTTAATCTTACATTGTCCTTGAAAGACGGTTGCTCAAAAATCATACGGGATAAATCGGTGTCGATTGGGGCATCCATTAGAGAAGTAGCATAGTATTTACGATTCTACCGAACCTCACAAGAGACCCTCGAAAGAGCCAAAAACAAAGACGGAGAAAGTATCCCAAGTGCTTCTATTAATAAAGTAAAACTAAGAAGTTTGCCGTAGATGCGCATTGCATGTTAGTGCACGCGCTTAGAAAATGTTCACTTTCACGCTAACAGCTTCACTATGTTCAACGCCAACAACAAACTGTTTCAATGTTCGTAGAAATATCTACTAGGGTTATGTAAAAGTAAATGAGATGAGATCCACCTTAGCTTGCTATATACACACACTACGATGAAACATAGGAGATTATTGCGGATTTTGTAGAAGGATGCAAGAAAAAGGATCGGGTGAGCTAATATCGTTTATCCTTGATCACAGTTAGTGGAGTCTGCGGATAGGAATTTCGAATTAACGCAAAGCCTACGACGTATTAAGGCCTGATTGTGATTGGGTCGACGACGGTTCGCGTCGCATCGTATCAATGACTACATATATTGTATATGGAAAAGCTCGTTCAAAGCGCTATTTGAACAATGTTCTCATGTATGAATAGGACATGTCTGATGCGAAAATACATTTAAACATAGTGCAACTACTTTTTTCTACTACATCTTTATTTGTATAGGAAGTATTTTCTATACATGCTAGATAGGCTATCTGCCGAAAACATGTTACACTGTGTTGTTCTTCGAAATGCTAACAAGGGCATTTCGACTTGAGTCCCGGCAAAAATTTACTAATAGAATTGATCGACTTAACCGTGTTTCTTCATACAGCCTAGCACGTTTTTTTTTATCTATACGGTTTTACAAGCGGTCATAGCTGAACGAGATATTTCAAATATAAGTAGAAATTGTGTGAGTGTGCTGACAGCTTTCTCGGGTCAAGAGTAGGCGTGCGTTCTAACAAAGCAAATCCTCGCTTACATTCTGGTGCTCGTGTTTGGAACCACCTTGGAGAAACCGACTAGACTAATGGAAGCTGCGACTGACCGTGGACAGGCTTGTGCTCAGCGGTGATTTCGGCCGTATGGTCAAGGAACACCGGCTTGAGTTCCAGCAATTTTTTCGACAAAGAACCCTATTTTGTACGTCAAGCAATTTCGTATATGTCGAGCCGATCATAATCTACACAGCGTCCGTATCGAGGCAAGGTTTAGCAAAGGATAGAAAGCCTCTAGAAAATATCCTGAGTTCGTTTTCGAGAAACGTAGCAAATACAGGGTACGGCCCTTAAATTGAAACGGGCTTTGGCGGACTGTCCGTCATAATGGATGTGCACTTATTTTCCACATCTGGCACCAGACAGAGGAGCGTCCTATGAGCAACACTGTGTCGTTTTTGTAATTTACGCGGCCTTTAGTTATTATCCCATGCGCATGCGCTGGACGAACCCCTAAAAACTCCTCGGGTTACCACTAAATCGACGGTGTAATGCGTTGCAAATGAGTACGCGGCTGCGGAGGAAACAGAAGTAGGTTCCAGCGCAGCACAACAAACAATCCACAATGGAGAAATAACAGCGCGAGTTTTAAGGTTAATCGCTGCCGTCCATAAGGGCACTTTTAACGAACCTCGTATTTTAATTAGGACGTTAGTGGGCAAATTTAATGCAAGTCAGCATACAAATGTGAGATAGATAGAGGCGCTCCTCGAACAGTAAAGCCCAGAGATTCGACCCGTGTTGGTTACCATTATCCCGGCAGAAGGCTGTATTCGATTTTTCTCTGACGATAAGTTTGTTGTCTCTGAATGCAGGCGTAGAGCGCATAAATGATCGCTGGCTTACTTACGATTTCAACGATATGTCTATTGTGGGTAGAAACAAATTTTCGACCGAAACTTATGTGCCGCGTGTGGTGTTTAGCGAAAGACATATCAGGGTACGACACTTCCTCCGAGATGGCGAACGCGTTACTAAAGAAGTTTATTTGTATGTAGAACAAACTATTCTGTAACGGTGGGTAGCTGAAGTGTTTGGAGAACGACGATACGTTTTCGAACGAAACGCCTCACTGGTCAATTAGTGTAGGGTTAACCATTTGAGAATGGAGGCATGTTCTGGGATGGACAAATAGGCCGGGCAAACAGCCGACATAAATTAAAACGGCACTCAAATATAGAAAGTTTAAAGTATCTGTTTCTACCTAATGATAAGAAGTAACGTGCCTTATAAAGGCCGACGCAATGGAAATCCAGTTAGGAGAATACCTTTTTTTAAACGTTTTGAGATTACTTGTAAAATAACATCTAAAAGGACGAAGAAAACGCAACCGCTCATGTAAGTATAGAAATGAACTTTATTCCTTCTTCCAGTTCCAAGACGACGGTCAAAAAGTTGTTCAATATTACCGAGACCAAAGTCAAAGCTAAAAAGAATTGCTTTAACGAAGCTTATACCAACAAAACGACACATGAAAAATCTCTTGCATAAAGGCCATTGCGTATACTTAGAAAACGAGCGTTGCGCAGAAATCTCATTTTCTAAAACCGTGCCAAATTTTTGCAAATAAATATACATAGGCCGCTTCGTATATATTTACTTGCATATCCATTTATATTGCCCATATATATTGATGGAGGGGGTCTCTGTATATAAGCCGGCTCGTGGACCAAACCATAATTAATCTGTAGGCATAAATGATGCCTGAACAATCGCAGCGCTAAATAACGGCTTAAGATTAGAGTCTATGCATGACTCGACAGTGATGAAAAATAATAAGAAGCACAAAAGATACTCCATTTTAAGTTGTAGACAAAAAAGAGGGCTCAGCGGTGGGTGTCCGAACCAGAAAGCTGTCGCCGTTTTTATAGTCCTTGTTTAAGCTAGTGGCGCATTAAAGGTTCAAGATCCACGCGTTACATAATTGCTATCTGGGAGAATTCTAGGATTGTAATTTCAGCTCTCTCTATTAGCAAAGTTTGTTTTGTGTAAGTTAGCGAAACACTCTCTCTCTTTCTCTCTCTCTCTCTCTCTCTCTCTTAGTAGTGTTGCCTTGATAAATATTAAGGTTTAGATACAACGTTAGTCCACTTAAATATTTTATGTATAAAAATATTTTATTTTCGACGAATGTCAATTATCTTTAGTCACAAAATTTAGCGTGGGGGCAAGCTTGATGGCGAGCGTACAAGCAGCATGAATCAGTACAGGTGCGTCTATGAACTTCACAGTGTATGCGATCGATGCCGCTTCAAACTACACAGAAAAAAATCCCTGATGATTAATTAAACATTGAGAACGTTTACTTTCGTATAACCTTACTAATGTTGTTAAAGCCGCCTTACGTTTGTCATTTGCTGCATCTGTATATAGAACCGGTCCAGAGTATCCGCACTATATATTCCCATTATTGACCACATGAGGTACTTGCTTGAGTCACGCCGATAAAGGACAGTCACTTCTAAGGCACAAACAAACTACTCAGACCGAATCTCATCGTAGACAAACAGAAGGCAGAAAATATTCTTAAGCGTAAGCCGGTCTCTTTGTTATACTTCCATTGTATAGTATTAACTAATACCTATTGACGTTATCTCTCGGTGCATCGCTTCCATTATGATGGCCACGATATGAATTTCGTATAGGTCAATTGATGCTAGCACTATAAAGGCAATGAGTATTTTTTAAAAATTGCACCAGATGCGCGAACTTCTCTTTCCTCTATGAACGTTGTTAATCTCCTCTGCTGAAACGTTTCTGCACCCAATGCGGGTAAGACGTCGCATATACATACATAGTTTTCATGCGTATTTTTAAATTAACCTTTTAGTATCGTGTTTATTCAGATATGCTCTGTGTCTGCCTTTTACGCAATAATACTAGAAGATGTAACGATCTTCTTCTAAGTGGGTTGATGCCCTTTTGTGTTGAATCGTTCGGAAAACCGTACCGGGTAATATACAATAGCAGACCTGCTACATTGTGTGACTGGAATTTTGACATAGTAGAACACAGTGCATTTACTGATCCATTGATGAAGGCATCATTTTCTATATTTTTGTATATTTATTCTATACACCTCGACCTAGTTGTATGTTGGTGGTAAATGGTTTAGCACACTGCATTATATCAGAATATTAAACGAACGTTTTCTGGCCTATTTCGTTTACACTTATCCAGATACGTTCTGCTTTTTCCATGCGATCATAAGGACTTTTCGACAGTCGTCTAATTTTTTGATTATTAATTACTACTAATTAATGAGATATTTATAGCAACTGTGCAAGGGGTCTACCGCTTTCGACATAATTTGGCATAAATGATTTTCGGCCATGCGCTAATTTACCTTTGATTGAGGACACTGTATATTTTGTACGAAACAGTGCTAAAAAGAGGAATCACTGAAAGTGCATTAGACGATGTAAACATACGGCCAAGAGGTCAAATAGTATCTCAAAAATGGCTTCCTTTATTTTGACCTTAATACAACCGAAAAAAATAAAGAAAAGACGCCATTGACTGTGAAGATTACAAGATGTGACTCATTCGGCAAGTTCGAAGGAAGAATAACTAGTTACTGAGACATTCGTTCGGGGAACAAATGAAAGAAGGTAATGGGATAACTACATGTTCTCACAGATCAAACGACATGCTATTCTCATTATAATATTTCTGGGCTTTTTATTATGTTTATTATAATTATATTAATTATTATTATAATTATATTATTTATTATAGTTATGTTTCAAAAGCGAAACTTACTTTATGTCACTTCCGAAACAAACAGGTGTTCGTTCGGATATTAGTTACTCATTTGTCATTAGTAGAGCTGGCCAATTCGTGGAATTTGGTGAGCTTAAAATAACAAAAGAAAACGGACCATTAATTGTATTTTAATTAAAATTATAGTCTGTAAGCAATGCTATATCATTTACAGTGTTTTTTCGATACTGTAAAAACACCAATTTGCATTTCAATGAAATCTAATTGTTGGATGGAGATGTAATTGGCTTTTACAATCTATCATTAATAGTTAGCAAAGCAATCCATATTGTTCCAGTCGTCGAACGCGAGTATGGTCTTTCTGTAGAAATCAAAATAAACAATGGATTGCCAATATTGCTAATGTCTATACCGGAATACCGAACAGATTTTAGCCAACAAACGTTTGAAGGCAAAGCTTCATCTGCTTTATTTTTTTTACCTATGTTATGCTTAAATTCGAGACGTTCAAAATTTACA